TCTTCCGATGCAAATGACTGTGTCTTCAGCATGAAGACAATTGTATTAAATCAAATGCCATTATTCCTCCTGTCTTGTGAAAGGACAGCGTCAAAGATCACAGTGACTCATTACAGTGCTATACTGTTCCCTGCTGGGGTGAGTTTGCACATTTAAAAATGCACATTAGTAATGATGTAGATGAAGTAATTTCAAAATCTCTGGGCTTCTTGCTGCATTTGCAGTGCAGTATTTACTTGGGGATAAACAAAGATCAGTGCCTGTGTATATTTCATTAGGAGCAACTTTGCTGTTTCAGAGGACAATTTGGATTAAAAACAAATTGAATCCTTGAAAGCTGGTCAGAAATCATTTGATTCTCTCTGTTTAATGTTCACAACTATTAAAAGATTCACAATATAATGAAAGAAGGTTAGCATCGACTTAATTAGCAGGTTGTACCAGTCGTTTAGGTTTGAAAATATTTGCTTTACTACCTGGGTATCCTAATGAAGAAAAATAAAATCTGATGAGCTTTTTTTTACATAACATAGCCTATCTGGCCTTCTCTGACTGGTCAGTTCTTTAAATTGTATCTGCAAACATACCTCACATTGGTGGTTCATTGCGCAAATATTTAAATCAGTAAGAAAATTAATATTCTAATATGAAGCAAGATATCTGGCAAATAGTCCATAGCTCCAAAGAAATTCAATAAATTATGCTGATTCACCAAACAACTCAAGACAAAGTATATATGTGCAAATAAAACAAGTCAATCAAATTCAGCATTATTTCAAATTTTAAGTGAATATCCAATTTCATTTTAATAGGTGCCTGTGATTCTGTCCAAGTTAAGTTGGTGAGGAGCAAACAAAATGGATTTAGTTAGCCTCATTTTACATCAAGTTAATCTTTTCATATAGAGAATGTTCAGGTACGATCAGCTTGTTGGGACAGGGCAGCCATTTTTAAAGGTACACTCCATACCCATCTGCATATGTATATGTTTTGTTAGGCTAAAATTGCTTAAATCGTTTAGATCTGACTTTGCTGATTGTGGTAATTAAGTATGGAGAACCTTAGCTGACTGTAGCTAACTTGTAGTGGATCTAGAGAGCCCGTATATGAGAGTGACAGACTGAAAAATGACTGCACACTGATCTCAGCTTTCGGTTCAGGAGCTAACGCTAGCTAGCAGCTGTAGGCAGATAACCAGTCGGCTCAGACTGAACAATAAAATGGCTGTTTGGACGTAGTTGAAGCATCCGCTACTGTATATAGCTGTATGGTATAGTCTTTCTTTTTCAAATTAACTTATAGATGTAACTTATGTGATAATAAGCGTGATGCTCCAAACATGGAGCATTTGCCCAGAATTCGGCACGCCGTGACGTCACCTTCACATTCTCCACTTATTGATAGACCTGGATGACACATCAAATTTAGTTTGAATAGCACATGCCGTTAAAACCCCCAATTTCTGGCGTTTTAGATCGCTGTAGAAGAAGGTAGCGTTTTGTGAGGTTCCATAATATTTGCAAACTGCCACAAAACAGAATAAATGGTTACGGGACAGTTGAAAAGGCCCTGACTTGGAACGGAAGTTTACCCAACGTTAGCCACTAAAATACGGTATGACAGTGGTATGGCTATAATAACGGATAACGGCTAGCCTACCGGTTCATTAGTATTTTAATGATTTCTGTAAAACCACAGTGGATGTTCCTGTGTTTAACGTCGTCGAATGGATCGTTCTGAAGATAGACAACTTAATGGATCCACAGATAAAAATGATGAGGTAGGGGGTGTTGTGGTTCTCCGAGCCGGCAGTGACCCCACCCTGACTGCTGACCTCAGGGTACTGCACAACCTGAGGGCTCTGGAAAAGACTTGTCAAGTGTACCCGTACTTCGGGACAGTCCAGCCAGACATCCAGCCATATATGAGGAGACTACTGACAGTGTGGATGTTTCAGGTAACCTATGCTATTTCGCCAAAACTGCCCAAACTAAGAGTCAAATTTACAAAATACAACCGACTTAAAGTACACAAGATGGCTCTTCTACAGGTGTGTGAGGAGCAGAAATGTGAGGAGGAGGTGTTTCCACTCGCCGTGCAATACCTGGACTGTTACCTGAGCCGGTTTACCACCGAGAAGTCTAATCTGCAGCTTCTAGGGACAGTTTGCATGTTCCTGGCCTCCAAAATGAGAGAGACTGTCCCCCTGACTGCCAGCAAGCTTTGTATCTACACAGACAACTCAGTTTCAGTCGCAGACATTCTGGTAAAAGATTTAAGTGAAAAGACTCAGAGAGAAGAGTCTAATAATAGCATTAACATTCTTTGCTTTATCTCCCCAGAAACAATGTAGGCAACACCAGTGGTGGAAGAAGTACTCATTGTTTACTCAAGTATAACTGGCAAAGCAATACCACAGTGTAAAAATACTCTTACAAGTAAAAGTCCTGCATTCAAATGTTAAGTACAAAAGTAGCAGCATCACAAAACATCTCAAAGTGCCAACAGTAAATGGAGCTATTGTATTATAATTATTGATACAATACTGTGTACACAGCATTTAATGTTACAGCTGGTAAAAGTGGAGCTAATTTTGACTAAATGCTTTAAATTTGAAGTAATGCTGGGTAGCTTGTGAATTTCCCACTGAGGACCAGTAAAGTCTTATTATAATACTGTATTTTATTTACATATATAAAATGTCTATTATATTTTGTATACATATTCTGAAAAGTAACTTAGTGTAAGGTAGCAGAAAGAAAATACTCAAGTACATATAATAAGGGATAATCACCTTTACTGGCCAAGTATGTTACACACAAGGAATTTGTTTCCGGTACAGAACCATATTTACCTTAAGTACTTGAGCAAATGTACTTGCTTACTTTCCACCACTGGACAACACACAACGCTGTTCACCAGGTCTTGCTATCCTGAACACTCACACCCAGATGTAAACCACTTATTATTATGACATCTGTTTGGGAGGTTTCCCTCCAATGGTCCATATGACTGTTCCCTATCACAGTATGTGTGATAGGGAACAGTCATATGGATAGGGATGTGTGTTGTGATGTTCAACTGGTTCAGAGGAATGTGTGTGTTGCAGCAGTGGGAGATGGCAGTGGTGTCCAGGTTAGACTGGTGTCTGGCCTCTGTAGTACCCTCTGACTTCCTGGAGCCAATTCTTCATTCTCTCCCCTATGTTCGTCCACCCCACCTTCACAACATGCGCAGGCATGTTCACTCCTACATTGCTCTGGCAGCCACTGGTAAGTTTCAGAACCGAGGTACCAGCATATGTGATGTTTTTTCCTAATAAGATTTAACAGAAGACCACATGAATTGGGAGTGGATATGAATATTTAAAACTGTTTTCATTTAGAAGGGTATTATAATACAATAAAAGCTGTTGTTTTATAGCCCTTGTAATTGAATCAGTTGTAACATTTTTAGTTAGTGAGCATTAAATGTAAGTGGTGAAATTAAATAACTTTCTACAGAGTGAACAATGGACACATAGCAGCCCTAACTTAAATTACGTGTGTCAGCAGCTCATTTTGGAGACAGAGAGCTGAGTAGGTGTAATCCTGTATTGTTTGCTGTGAAAGAGCAGCATCTGACTATTTGGCTGGCTGATTTCCCACGAGGCTCTGTGATGCTGCCTGCAGCAACAGGTCTCAGGGATACAGTGGATTAGTGCTATTTTAAGCAGACTATGACATTACAGCCCATAAATGTACGATAATTCCTGGTTCCCGTCACCGTAACCCATTCAAAAAGGGCTTACACCCTCTTCAAGGATTGAATGGCTGGCTTTGTGTCTGCATTTCTCCTGCCTGAAGCAATTAGGATATTGTATCTGATTATCCGGTTTTGGGAAATGTTTGCTTTTGAGTGCTTGCTTTTGTGCGTCAGGGTGTGTCTACACTGGGGGCATCTGTCTGTCTGCCATCTAACCTTTATGACTTTGCCTCACTGTAGCACTAGTCTTTAAATTGACTGTGGCCCTGAGAGCGCCGCAACTTAAGAAAAGACATGAAATAGACAAAAAAAAGTAAATAAAAAAAAAAAAGCAAATACTAAAACAAGCTGAATGTACAGAAAATACAACAAAATGTAGAAACACACAGCAAACTCAGAACACAACCAAACAGAGAATTGCTACAAATAACACAGACAACATCGAAATGTTTGCAGAGGACACTAAAATGTGAACGCAGCTGAGACATGGGGACTCAAGAAGTTGAGTGGTGTTGGGAAAAAAACAGGTAAAATGTAGGTTTTTAAGTTTGGGTTTTGTTTCCTTTTTTCATTCTGATTGCATGAGTCAGATATTATTCCAGATATCTGCTGTTAACCTGGCAGTGTGTCTGTGGCATATTTGACTGTGTTTACTACGTTTGGTTGGGTTTTCTTACTTTGTCATCAAAGTGAATATTATGTCTTTGCATGTTCTGCATTTTGCCTATTTGCATGTGTTTTGCATTGAGCTCTCAGGGCCACTGTATTAAGTAGTTGAAGTAAACTGCAAACTGGTCAGCATATAAAGGAAATACTGTTTATTACTCTTTCATTTAAAGTGCATAGGTAATGTCTGACTCTTATCCCCAGACAGCAGGTTTTCAGTATTCTTGCCCTCCACTGTTGCATGTGCCTGTGTGAGCGCTGCCATGCAGAAACTAAAGTTACTGGATGCTGCTGTTTCCTCTGAGACAGTGATAAAGTTTTTGACCAACCTTTTGGCCATGGATCTGGTAAGTGTAATGTTTACCTGACGATTTCAGGTTATATCTCTTTTGACTTTGCCCCATTGTCAACATTGGCCAGTGTGTTTGTGAACATTTTAGCAAATACTCTGATCAAACAATTTAAGGGTACAAATAGTACAAACTGCTAAATGCAAATTCTGTCTATGTTCTTAGGTGCAACCTTGGCTGTACTTATGAACTCATAGTTGTTTTTCTTTTAATCTGGCCCTGAACAGAGCTCAGTCGTCCTCTGCTCTGAGCAGCTGGGGAGTGTGCTGGAGCTCAGCCTGCCCTCCTGCTTTCAGGGTAGTGTTTGCAGAGCGCACAGCTCAGAGGTCAGCTACACCCCTGCTGACATTCAGGATGTTGTACTGACACCAGTGACACTGGCTCAGGAAGTTAAGCTGAAACACTCCTGCCAGCCTCCCAGCTATGATTAGACAGGATATTACACTGACAGTGTGAGAGAACAAGGAGCTCGAGTTTGAAGCAAATGTGTTTAAATGCCTTTTCTTCTTGATGTTACTTGTTATTTACATGATGATTTTTGAAACTGTTTTGGGACATGGCCAGAGCTACTACAGTTTGAGCAACCAAAATTAGTTTTGAATGTCCGTCCTATTGCTGCTTGTTCTAAAGTATTTTGCAGTTGCTGAAGCAGCTCTGAAAGACTGTAATTTTCATGAATATTTGAAGCTACGTTTATGATATTTACAGCTGATTTGCACTGAATCTCAATAGCAATGTTTGCACATTTGACTTGTGATGGTTTCTGTTCATGTATATTTAGCAATTATCTTTGCTGACTTTGTTGAGAATCTAATTTTAGCTTTACATGACAGTTATGTTTAAACTGAAAAGTAAATGCAAATAATTAAAGAAAAAACATTTTCATAAAGTAGATAAAATGTTACTTTATCCTTATGACAGTTATACTGATGTTTCCCTTGCAGATTTTAAATAAATACTGTTAGACTATGATATTCAACATTTGTCACCAACAACATTAACCAGCGTTTATTCTTTGCTTTGTTTTTATTTCTCAGTATGGTCACAATAGCATGGCAGATCACATGGTGATGTAAATAACAAGCCAGTTCCTTTGGCAAATGTGTTTTTGTTGCAGTCACAGAGAAAACAATACTACAAGAACCTATATGTCTGAAACTTAACAAGGGAAGGAAAAAATTCTAAATCCACATTAAATTATACAAAGATAAAACATACTTTTAAGATTAGTTTTCCCAGAATCTGAATGCATGGTTTTCCATCTTACACTTCAATAATAAAGTATTGTTTATGAGTGACAAGGAGTTGTAGCTTCATCCTTAATACAATCCTGCAGATTCCAGAAATTTCAAGAATTCCAGTTGTAATTAGGGAATTCCTAGTTTGTTTGCATTTGTATTGGCATTGCACTCTTGACTAGCTTCATATTATGTCAAAAAATACATTCTTTACATTCCAGTTTTAATAAATGGCATGCTTTGCAGATTCTTTGCACTTCCGTGTGCAACTTTTGCCAAACTCAAACGGTTATCAGGTTTGGATGGTCTGATATTTTGCTAAAGCACCGGTTTGATCTTCTTATTTAACACCAACATGCTGATGAACTTTCATACAGAAACAAGAACATATTTATGTAACATTCTCCAATCACCAGGGAGTATTTCATGAAACAGGAACAGGACGTCAACCAGATCATTATAAAGAGTGATGTGCAATATCTTGTCCAACTAAATGATCATGATCGATGTGCATAATTCATAATTTTACTCTTAAAACTAATATATGTTTGAGTCACCAGGCTGTAGCACAGTACTTCTGAACAGTTAATCCAGCTTTGTGAAAGGTGTCTAGATATTTTAAATTAAATGCAAAGTTCAAGATGCCTGAACTCCTTGATGGATCTTTCATCTGAAAGGTTGCACGTTAATACATGATACAGTGTTTGGCTAGGGCTCATGGTTTACTGTCAAATACACAATGCTCCTTTTTAAATTGTGACAAAAAAAACTGAAGCAACTTAATGAGCCCTACCTTTACTGTGAAACCTGCATTCAGAGAGCAAATGGCCAACCGTACTTTTGTTTCAGTACAGGCTTGGAAGCAAAAGCAGGTTGTACTGGTTGCACTTGTTGTTAGTCATATCTGTTATGATCCAAATATAGGATGAGTCATTACAAGAAGAAAAAAACAAAAACAAAACCGCAAACAATTTAAGAAAAACAACCACTGAAGCCCATGTTACAAATACAGATCCTCTTGCCATGTTTGCTAGCATTTTGAATAAAGATACACAAAAAGGTCCAACAACAGTCCTTTGGTGTTCAAGAAATGCCAATTTCAAAAACTCAGCAAAAGCTGTAGTATATGGTACATTAACATATCCTAACATTGAACCTGTGTTGCTGTTATCCTAGAAAAACAAAGTTGATATGAGTGGTAACTATCACAGAGCTAGAGTCCAGAGGAACGACAAAGTCCTTGACTCCCCAAACTGTCCTGTCAATAATGAAAAGACAATGGCTACTTGGCTTCAACATATGCTGCTGTTGTAAATGAGGCAATATTGAAACAACAGTCCGACTGTGACAGCTTCTTACTTTCTTGTAATTCAAGTAATATCTCCTACAAACTCAGACCAGTGTTTTGGTTTCAAGCCGACTTTTCATTAACTACACTTTTCATAGTAAGCTCTTATGTTGAAAATTAGAGCTCCTAACTGACCGGCAGGATTGTCTGTCAGTCACCATTTAAAATGCAGTCTGGTGCTCAGCAAAACATCTCCTCCCTTTTTGGTACTGTGCGATTCCTGAAGTTAGCCAAACTGATACACCGTGCTGGTGTTTCACGTGAAGCACTTTGGCCGTCACATCTTCAGCAGTTTACAGCCCTTTGAAATTCTCAATGAAAACCACTTCTTTTGTCATTGTCCTTTACTCATTACTGGTTTTCAGCTTGCTGACCATGGCCTGTTTGTAAGCCTGTGTTACATTATCACAGTCATTGATGGAAAAAGCACTGTCAGCCACTCCAGAACCATAGCAGCTCCAGGGTCTAATCAACCCATCCCCATCTTCTTGGATGTCCAGCAAGTTGTCGGCCGACACACATCCTCTCATGCTAGCCTTGGCTGGTTTACCCATTTGTGCTGGATGTCCCACCCGTTCAGGTAGATCCAGCAGGTCGAAGGACTCTGAAGACAGAATGCTGTCCTCGCTGATGGCCCCATTTGGCCTTGACCTGCCACCTCCACAGGGTAATGAAGCTGCCAGCTGGTCTAGAGAGCCAAACTCCTGCAGTCCACCTGAGGAAAACTTCCCATTGTGCTTCAGGATGCCCTTCTTATAAGTTGGTCCTGCAGGGCGCACTGTGGTTTGTGGTACCCAGCCAAAGTCACTATTCTCAGGAGAGGAGGAGTAGTACCCCGATTCTTGCTCTGGTGGCTTCTTGAGGATACCTTTGCGTGGCTGCAATGTGGCCACAGGGGCATTAGATGACTCAGACAAACCTGCAGCTGGAGTTTCACTCATCACTTTCTGTTTCGCACTGTTGCGTCTCTTTAGAATACTCTTTGAGGGACGACTGTCTGTGCTTTCTTCATGAACTGTCTGAGAGACATTGTTTTCCTTTCTTGACCTTCGTAGAGAGCGCTGCCTGACTACATCCCCTCCACTAGCCTGTGAGCGAAGCAAGCAGCGCACCTTCGAGCCGTTCTCCAGCAAAGGCCTGGATGTTCGTCGTAGCCAACTTGCAATACTGGCCAACCCTGCAGAGTTTGATGTTGACGAAGTGGTCTGTACTGTACTGCTCTTTCTCTCATACAGTAAAGGTTGCTGGTAGCCCCAGTTGAGCCACCAGTGTCCTGCAATTTCCTCTATTGTAGCTCTGCGCTCCGGATTTACCATAAGCATCCAGCGAATAAGCCCACATGCGTCTGAGAGAAGCAGAAGGGAAAAAAATTATTTTGTGCTCATCAAGGTAAACTGACATTGTCACTAACAAAGTGTGTAAACTGGAAGGCTCACCGGAGGGGTTACTTGGTTTATGGTAGTTTCCAGTACTAATCTGCTGGACCAGTGTCTTATGGTTGTTTCCATCAAATGGCATGGTGCCATGAACCATTGTGTATAACAACACGCCGAGGGACCAAGTGTCTACCTCAGGCCCACGGTATGGCCGTCCATTGACGATCTCTGGGGAAGCATACAGAGGGCTGCCACAAAAGGTTTGAAGATATTCATCACCATGGTAGAGGTTTGACAAGCCAAAGTCTGCGATCTGCAAGAACAAGGAATAGACGTCAGGCTCACTCAAAGAAGATTTTTGTGCCGTCCCCAGATTAGTGTAGAGATTATCTAACCTCCTAAAACATTTCCATATCAATCACTAGCCCTCATCAGTTACTCATAACAATGCTCTGATTTACGATATTACCGTTCCTGTGGCGAATCACCCTTTCATTGCACATGCATTTTATTTTTTGTCATATTACAATTTACACATAAAAGTCTCTGGTAGCACTTTATTTTACAGGTCCACTATTTCTTCAAAGTTTCCTGCAAAGAACGCTGTAGTTCGTTATTAATTACTGAAAAATAGGGGCAAAGTTTTCTTAGTTAGACCACTGAGTTCTGCTAAGTTTATTATTGGTTTCCAGATAAATTTCCATGAAAGAAATTGCTCAATGTAAACCCCAGTTAGTATTTATTGTATATTTATTAATTATTCAAACTGGTATTCTTCATTTATGCTGAATTGGATGGTTGTTTGTACACTAATGTAACATTGTGCATGTGTAGCTCACCTTCTGTGAGTTTGTGCTAGCTTAGCATTTAGAAATAACGAAGTGTACCAACTGGTCACTCTCCAATTGTACCTGTTATTAGCACCAAAATCTATGGTTGTTTTTTTTTTTTTTGCAGGAAACATCTTAGGAAATTATTTGGAAATAAACTGAAATTTACAGACCTGTAGAATAAAGCGCTACTTTATCTTACCAACCACTAAATATCTTCATTTATAATCCTACTGTTATGCAGTTAATTACATGCCAAAAACCCTCAGGCAATATCTTAATGATTATGAGCTGAGCCCATGTGCATGGTACAGGTATTTGAGTGCAGGGCATGTGCTTCACACATACCTTAACATTGTCTTTGCCATCTAGTAAAATATTCTCCAGTTTCAGGTCCCGGTGTACTATTCCATTCTAGGAGGATAAAAGCATAAAAGCAAAGATATCAGTTTTGTCTAACAGTTTTTTTTTTTTTTTTTTTAAACAGTGATACTATCTAAACAGACCATTATTCAGGTTACTGGAAATTGTCTATGTGTGATAAAAGGATTTGTTTTTCCTAGGTCAGAATGGATTCTTCCCCAAGTGAAGATTTTTTTCCCCTGGTATGTCAGCTATGCCCCATTGTCCTTCGCTCTGCAGGGGGGCATGCCTTTGACTCAGCCAGAGTGTGAATTTGTTGTCCTTTCAAAAAATTCAGGTCAGCTACTTCATACATATGGGCACCTGTTGTAGCAACAGACACATTCTTTGTTGCTTTGTGTTATGATACTTTCATGTATTGTTAATGGGCTTTACCCCTATGGAAAATTAAATATATAACAAAACATCAGGTCTCAAATCAAAGTGAAAATAGACAGATGGCTCCCAGAGAATATGACAGAGCAGTTCACGCTGTAAATATCGTCCAGCATAAAGTCTGAGCCACAGTAAAATATAGTGTACTCTAATGGCCATAATTACACAGCTCTGGAAGATGGGAACAACTAATTGTGTGTGTGTGTTTGCACGGCCCTTCTGTTCCATCAAACCCTCATTAAACTATGAGACCAAGCGTGTGTGAGTGTGTGTGTGTGTGTGTGTGTGTGTGTTGGGATGGCTGGCCTTTAGCCCTGACGCTAGCTATCTACAGACCAACTGTTGTTCTCCCCATGCATCGTTCTCACAGGCTCCCTGTTCAGATCAGCAGGCTGACAGTGAATGATGCCTGTTATGTAACTTTGGGGGTGTCAGTGCCCTGGGAAAAAAACAAACGCTGAGCAGCTAGTCTGAGTGGATTTCTGCATCATTAGGTTGACGTAGCCGCCGAAACTGAATACTTGGCAGGGATAATATACTGCACCCTGACATAACTACAACTTTACTTTGTACACAGGACTTATGAATACACACATCCTGATAATTTCCCTGCGTTTCTACTTTCTGTAAACAATTTTATATGTTCTGTATGAAAGCACTGAATTAAGAAAGACGGCCTTACCTGATGGCAGTAGTGCACAGCTGATACAATTTGCCTGAAGAAGTGCCTGACCTCCTGTTCAGAGACGTGTTTCTTGTCACAGATGTAGTCATACAGGTCTCCCTGGCTGGCATACTCCATCACAATCACTATTTTGTCTTTGTTTTCAAATACTGAAAGACCAAAAATCAAACCCCTTTTAAACATTTCAATTCCAACTGATCATGCAAAAAAAAAAAAAAAAAACAGAAATTATTTGAAACTCCAAACACTTAAAAGAGGACACTGGACTGTGAGGAGCCTTTACATGACTAACACATGTTTTGTACAAAGATGTGCCTGCATTTAAAACTGATTTCTATCTTCCTGCACAACCCCTAGGTCACACCGATGAGGATGGTGACAGTACTGCGAGGTGACCATCTCATCAGGCGTGAGGGGCTCTGGAAGACACTAGACTCAGCACATTATCTTGCAGTGCTGGCTGGGTACAGCAAGGTATCAGCACTTATGTAACCTAGCATTGGTCCTTCAGCACAAATGCTCGCATGACCAAACTCTGAATCTCAAATAGAAACAAAGACACGTTGTTTGCCAGGTGCCACATTTCACTCCTCATGTGGCTCAGAGTTTAAACCACCTCCTAAAGGTAAACAATTAAATTAAACCCCAAACACACCCACTAAACAACCATTATTACATTTTTTTAATCCTCTACCTTCATATATGGTGATGATGTGCGGGTGGCAGAGAGAGGACATGATCTCGATTTCTCTACGAATATGAACCAAGTCTTGCTCATCCTTGATCTTCTCCTTTCTGATGGACTTTATGGCAACCTTAGAAAGAAAAGGAATATTTAAGATTAGGAGAAAAATGTATTTTAGTTTGTGTAAGTATTTAAAAAGTGAGATGATTCCAGGAACGTCAAAGGCTGAAACTTTTAATGAACCTCAGCCACTGTAGCCCAAAGTGACAGCTACAGGATAATGGTAAATACTAAAAGACAGTGGGAGGACAAGTTGAGATGAGTCAGTAAACCAGCTTGATCAGTTAGACAGCAGAATTTGAGGTTTGTCAACAGTAGCTTCCATGAGCTACTGGGCGTTCTACACCAGACCAAGCAGCAAAACCTTTGAGAGATGAGCAAGGGTGTTTTTAATTAACACAACATAACTCCACGTTAAGGATATTAATTAATACAGTTGTCAGCAGCTGCACTGCTGTTGTTATAGAAGTCTGTACGTTAATATAATACAGGAGATCAGACCTGTCCGTTTAGTAGAAAAAGAATCGTCTTTCATCTAAAGGTCATCTTGTGAGAGGAATAATGGGTAACGAACCGAAAACTGCTGCGTTGTTTCAAGGCAGAGGGAATGCCAGGTCAAATGCTGTTTGCTCTAATAACATCTATTGTCTGCTGCTGTGTCTGCAAGGCCCATACAATAAGGAAATTTAAATCTGAATAGTATCTTTTGTGGTCCGTATTCACAGACCTACCACATAAAAGCTTTTGACAAGTCGGTATTCACGTCTTTAGGTTGCATTTGTGTATTGGAAGCTCAGATGCCTGGGATTCCTCTGAGCACTGAGTGCGTCATCAGTCTAACCCAGGGATGAAGGACATTATGAGGTACCAGACGACACTGGTGGAGGGGTGTCCTTGTTTCCTGTCCTCTCTAACCCTCCAGACTGCAGACACAGGGAAATGAGTAAAGCAGTGCCTTGTCATATCAACTTCAACATGACTGTGTCCTGTCATGAGTCACTGTCTGCCATGAGTGCTCCTCCTGGTCAGTGTATTCACACCACACAGACCTTTATCCTGTGAACTGAGGTTTCCTGTGAACTGAGGTTTCCTGTGTTTGTTCGCATAGCTGTCAGACGGGTTGCACTCACACTCATGATGAGTTCACACCCTTGTGAGGTTATCTGTGTTTTTGTGTGTGTGCGGTCTTTGTTACAGTCAGTCTGTTTCACACATTAAGCACAGACAGCCTGAAATATTTGATATTTCACACAGTTCTCGTTTACAAACATTTGGAAATGTTTGTTTTTTTTCCCCACACGAGCCAGTTGCACCAGCGATTTCTGACTTAGTTTTACTAAGTGAAGATTTACATATTGCTAGATAAAAGCATCACACAAACACATTCTTATATAAAGATTAGTTGTAACTAAATACTTCCACCCAGTCACACACAGAGGTTTACATTACATACACCTTAGCCAAATACATTTATACTCAGTTTTTCAGAACTCCTGACATTTAATCCTATAAACTATGAACTTATTTTAAGCTGCACTAATAGGCTACCACCGGCTAACCCCGAATCTTACACATATTCTCTACATAGTGTTAGGTATTTTTAGTCAGATAGATATTGGATAGATACTTTATGTATTAGAAATGTTTAGTAGAGATAGGATGTCTAGTTAGACTGTTAAATGCTTAGTCATGCTTATGAGTTTCTACAGGGTACATCTGGTCAAGGATAACTAGAGAGAAGAGTTGATGACTGTCAGCAGACAGGGTGTTTAATATTATTATTATTATGACGTGTAGAACTGTAGCCTTAGCCATAATGTGTTCTTATGTTTAAGTCACGACATGTTACTAGAGGTCGTGAGAATGTTTTTAGCTACACACCACTTAATCAACAGACACACACACACACACACACGTTGATTTGCTTCATGTTTTGACTACTGCTATGGCCAGCTGCAAAGCTGGTAACAGAGACGTCTCGGTTGACGTTTCTGTGTAGTATGGGGCTAGCCCAACCGAAGAGATAAATGTATAGGCCTGGTGGGTTCAGGGTCTTTCATCTTACATCTGCCTGCGAGCAGGATGGAGGTGCAAGATACTTGAGCGTGTAATGTAAATTTTTACCTGTGTTCATGGAATAAATCAGCACTGTTTTGTAGTTACTTGGACTGCCTCGTCTCTCAGAGTCAGTATGGTAAAAAGTACCGGGTACAACAATAGATCACAAATAAATGAAACAAAGTAGTACATTCATTTTAGATTGGTGCTTCTTTTTTGCCACCTAAAACTGTTGTTCCTGGAAGTTATGTTAAAGTTCATCATTCCACATTGACTTCACTAACATTTATTGAACAGCACTAAAGATTAGAGCTGAAACTGTTGGTTATCTGATTAGTTCATCCAACATAAAATGAATCCATATCTATTTTAATTATTTGTTTAACTGTTTCCTGGGAAAAATGCCAGAAACAGGTGAAGATTTGCTGCTCTTTTTGTTTGTTTCTTTTCCATTTGAAATGGTTGATTTGGCAAAATAAGCTAAATTGAAGACACCACCTTGTGATTTAGGAAATTGTGACTGGCATCTTTCTGTATTGTTTGGGGAATTTTTTAGCCAAACAAGTATTGAACAAAGTAGTTAGATAATCATTAGTTGCATTCCTAGTTCTCATGTTTCCTGGCAAACTACTTACACATCACTAAAGTCTTTATGAGCAAAGTTTTAAAAGTGCAACTCAAAGTCGTCAGTCATTAGTTTGAAACCGAGGCGAAGCCGTCCTTTTGCTGGGTCACTCCCTGTGTCAAATTACACATCTTTGTCCAGTATGTTGTCAGTACCAAGGAAGGCAGGTGACAACAAAGCAAATGAATGTTTCTCCAATTTCCATGTTAACTGCTATTTGTCTGGTGTGAATTCAAAGCAAAATATTTAGGTGAATTAATATGTTGACACCTGAACACAGGTTTGTGGTATGAAACTGAAGAAGCTCCCTGCAGGGGACAAATATCATGACGCATATCCTTTAAAAGCAGAGTGCCGCAGATCATGTCTGAAGGTTTAAGAGCAGACAGAGAGGGGCATGTAGACAAGGCTGGACATGTAATGCTGCCTGTTTACTGCAGGTATAAGAGGGAAATTCTCGACACTTGCTTCATTGTCCTCTCAGCGCTTTCACTCATAACAAACATGATATTTGAACAACGCCTTGCTGGCGAAGGGAGATTACATTCAGGCCAAGTATCTATTTTTGTCACTGAATCTGAAACTAGTCCACTACCACAGATGTGCTTTTTGTTTTTGATTATATACTTCACATTTACTGGTAAGAAGTTTCATACAATAGCTCATGTAAACAATGTGTATAACCACATCTGTAAACATACAGAGTGGGTTGCCATTTGACCTTAAACAAATATCAAATACAGCAGGCCTACAATAAATCCCCTGAATTGTGAGAGGTGCTGATTCAACTGTCTGGTCATTTTGTAGGTCATATAGTTTGTGCTGCTGTTGAACTATACTCCATTATGCAGTAGTTGTACTCCACGCATAGCTGTTTAAAAATAAGTCTTATGAAAATGATAGAATTGGATTGAGGTTTAGTACTGGAAAATCTTATATTCATATGAAACTGTTCATTTGTTTGCCAACTCATCTACATCCTTTTGAAGGGTGATCTCAGTCAAGTCTGTTAAATACCTCCCATTTCCCTTTAGGTCAAGGGGAACTGGAATCCACCTGAAAGGCAATTTCCTCTTCTTCCCTCAACCAGGAAAACAGAAAAAAAGTTCCCTAACTTTCCCATCTAAGACTTCCGCCTGAGACAAAGTCACTCAAACTTTCCAATAAAACGCCTTTCCTTGATGCCAATGTAGTGACGAATTTACAGGAATTGGTTTTTGCTTTAGTCCCTATAGGATGACCTCAAATATATATATTTAAAGATATTATGTTACCTATTAAAATAGTGTGTAGTCTTTGACTTTCTCTAATAAAGAAAGCAGCTGTGTGGAAGTTTTGTAGTAATTTGTGGAATTGTGTGCCATGATGTGCAACATACTTAATAGGCGACATTATTCTAATTCAGTTTACACAAGACTGAACTTGTGCCACAAACAAACTTTCTAACAAAGAGAGAATTGTTGACATTATATTACACCAATAAAGTTAGTGAAATTGAAAGGAAAAGCTTACATTAACACATCGCAAATTAAAGTATATTAAACCCGTACAGAGTAGACATAGTGTCGAAAACAAAACAAACAAAACAGCGGAAAACAAGCGCACCCCCTAAAACAAACACATTGAACTCTTGAGCAAACTAAATGTTGTTTGTCAACTGACAAACATTTCAGGAGCAGACACACTTTGTCCTTTTATTTTTACAATTTAGCAATATGGTTCACGGTTTTTACAAAAACATTGAAGACAATGATAGATTGTGGATTGTTTCAATTAAAATCCATGTGTAGACTACCTGTGTGCAGACAATACGTCTTCTAGAAACAGCCATCAACCTGTACCAGGTGGCCAAAGGGGCGCAAACACACAACCCTTAATACTGACAGCTGGTGTGGGCATCGTTAATAAATGTGCTACAGCTGGATCACACGGTAAATCAACTGTAGAGGATGACATTAATCCTTACCAGTCTACCGGATCTTTCCCTGGCTTTCTTCACCTTGCCGTAGGTGCCTTTTCCGAGCGTCTCCAGAAACTCGTACCTGTGCTTCAGGTTGTGTTTGTGGTGGTGTCTCTTCACGGCTTGCTTTTTCACGGGCACCTGGCACGAAGCTGTCCCAACAGGAGGATTTTCAACGGGTGACACTGCTAAACTATCCATCCTTACAAAACCTTGATGTGAGTTTTCTTCTTTTCAGACGCAGGTGAGGCTGTTATACTGTCTTCGTCCCGAGCCCGGGTCGTTGTTGGTGCGCGTTTCCCTGATGATGCGCAGGTACTCGAGATAAAAGTACCAATCTAAGCTCCTCATGCAGCGCCTGTAAGGCAAATTACTACAGAGAAGACAGAAACCGAAACATCCACCCTGAAACCGACAGAGCACTCGTCTCCTTCGCAGAAGTGATGACCTACTACTAACTAACAACATGCACCACCAGCACGCTGGAGGAGGAGCGAGCGCACACCCGGACCGGGCACGTCACACAGTGAAGGGCGTTTCACGTAGTGGACCGCTTGGTGTGTAATACCGAGAGGTGCCGGATTGACCTCGACTCAAAGGTTGCATTACTTTCTATTTCATTTTGGTGAATGTGTCTTGTTTCTCCTTGTATGCTTCCAAGCCTCCAAGTTCAAGCTTTAGTTTTGTGTTATTGACTGTGCAAATGCAGTATCAGACTGAAATATTAATAACTAGGCCTGCAAATAGTTTAACATTAATCATTGTGGATTATAATTTCATTATCAAAGATCCTTATTTTCATAATTCTTAGATTTGTGAACCTGAGATCGGCAATGTCTAAAACAGTTATTCAGTTAGCCTACCGGTGCTGCAGATTTATTTTCTGTCAATTGACTATTGACTTACTGTTTTAACTATAACATTAATAGTAGCGTGTGGCAAATAGAAAGGCTACTTATAGACTACAACTGTAGATGTGGCATAAATCCACTAAATGCAGATCATAGCTCTTGGGTACCTGCTTTTACGATCGGTGTACGAGGAGAATTAGATGAAGCGCACCAACTAAAGATAAATAAAATTGAAATAAATAAATAAAATTTGAGACAAATGGCCTACCTTTAATTTGGGCTTGCAATGGTCTATATAACTTTCCCCATAGCCTACCTGTTTCATAGTATACTTCTATTTATTTACAGTTCAGAGGGCATATTGCACTGCTAACACAGGCACTGTAGTTTAAATGCAGGACTTGTAATGATGGAATCTATAATATTAAGTTAATACCTGAACATTTGACACACACTGCTGTGCAGTTGGTGTGGCCTTTTTGCCTAAATTATCTGCTTAAAAAAAAGAACTGATTAATGAGTGGATGCCTCCTTTTCAACATAACATATTTATTTGTAGCTTATTGAGACTGACTAGAAAATTAAATGCTTAAATATTTGAGTCTCACAGTCCCTCATAAAGCAGCTGAGAGTGCTTGACCTAAACAGACAACCTGTAGTGAATGGAACAAAATGAATTATAGAAAAGAGCAAAAAGTTGGATTAGTAGCTGCAGGCCACTAGAATTCAGCATGCAGTAATCGATGGCAATAATCATTAACAATGGTTGGGCCCTGTGATAAACTGGCAACCTGTCCTGGGTGTACCACACCTCTCGCCCAATGTCAGCTGGGATTGGTTCCATACTGGTATGTTCAGTGTTAATTGTCCCCTGCCTGAAATGTATGTTTCAGTTTCATATTATGTACGTAATTAAAGCACATACAATGTGATATTACTTCAAACTCTGCTGCTGAATATCAGTCATGACAGGATGAACAAACATTGCTGATTTTAGCAACATTCAGATCTGGCCGCTGTTTCATACTTTATGTCTTAATTGACATCCTAACCCACCAGGGAGAGCATATGCTCTTCAGTTGCCTGAGCTATATTTCACTAATTCTTCACTTGTGCATGCAGAGGAACACATGCACAAAATAAATAATGAAAGTGTGTTTGCAGCCAAAAATTAAAATTGGTCCACAAAATGTTTTAATCTCAGAATAGTATGAGCTGCACAAAGTCTTAGGCTTAGAAATGGACAGATCAGAGAAAAATCTGTTATGAGAAGAATAATTTTAAACAGAAAAAAATACATAAATACTGATCAGTTAATCCAGTTGTGCTTGTCTGGACAAATCTTTCCATTTTTGCAATTGTACTTTTTAAATGTAACCAAACGTTTTTAATCTTTGTGAAAAGTTAAACATTGCTCTTATTGAAACATTTCAACCACGCGATGGTGGCCTACAGCAACATACTGTGGCTTACTTAACATTGATTGTTGCTCTATTTCCTACACTTCCCATATTGCAATGCGTCACTCTGGACCCCGCCCTTTCGTACCCTTAACTGGTCGTATTGACTTTCTGTTTTGCAGTGATTTGACTGCTTGGACCAAACTATGCGATTTGACTCGGGCACACCGCGCCCTGCACCGCACTACCACTGGCTGTCCCCTTTATCTTCATCGCCAAAAGAGAAAACAGTCTATTTCTTGCTGCGGTGTCGCTCGCGGTGTTGAAGATGTCTGTTTTCTGTTCCGGGCCAGAGTCCGTTTAGTAAGCCTTTTCCCAACGGATCATTATCGGGATAACGCGACCGTTTTGTCGTGTAAGCTGTTGTTATTAAGAAGCAACTGGCAAAGGGGGACCTCCTCTTTTTAGCACGGAGCTATATGGTAGTGAAACAGTGGCTTGGGATGTGAAGTGAATGGCAATGCATTTTGTTTTTTTGCCAGACCAAAGCGAGGAAGGACAGGAGATGCCATCTAGCTAGCAGTACGTTGTCTGGACCACGGCTAGGTTGCAACACAGACTATTTAGTTGTCAACCCGTCAGTGGTTATCCATTGTTTTTAGACACTCTTCAGTTTGGAACCGGTGTCATCTAACTAACACAGGATGCCAAAAAGCGGCTACTGTGTTTGCTAATTGTTAAACTCTCGTGTCCAGACAACAACATTAAGTTTATCTCGCACTCGAGGCTGACGTTAAGCTAAGCTAGCTGTGCTAGTCAGCTTCAACAGCACAACAACAAAAGCCAAATGCCTAGCCCTTATTCGCTGTCATAAGATCCTGTATGGGCTGTTGTCTGTCCAGCTCTGATACTCCAGTGTTAATGATATGTTAAAGGTGCTTTTTTTGAACTGTAAAATACAGCATCGCATATATAGTATATAAACGAGAGTGCTAACTAATTAATAAAGTATGATCACAGGGTTTATTTAAGCAGCTAAGAAGCTCAGTTTTGGTGTTTGGCATCCGCTAAACTGGTAAATAAAAATAAGGAAAAGTCAACAGCTCAGCCTGTTGTTGACAATGGAGGTAAACACACAACAGAGAATGACTCCTTTAGCTCGGGAACTGACGAGGATATTTAGCAGCTTCAACAAACACTCCCATCAGTTGAAGAAGAACTTGAAAGAGACTAATGCATTCTTCCGAGAAGTAGGGCAGAGCTACAGTAACTCTTGTGCAGCAACCATCAGCTCGGATTCAGCTTCTCTGGAGGCAGGTAGGTTTGAACACATGCAGCATCTAATCATCCTTGTAGTACACTTAAGTGTCACAGTGTTTAAAACAACCAAAATGATTGCGAGAAAAATTCAGATCATATCCACAGCTGTGTTATATTTGCTCATCCTGTTGCGAAACAAAAAGAAAGAACTAAGGCGTTGCTGCTGCCAAGTGATTTCTCCATCAACATTAGACTGAGAAAAATGCATTAATTAGGCTTATGGATTAAGCCCCCTCTCAAAAGCATGAGCAGACTAAGTGCACCAAATATGTTGAAATTTGTGCACTCATAGGTCGGCTGAGAGCTTGGCAGGTCCAGCAGTCATTCTTGTGCCCTGTGCGTGTCTTAGTGACAGGTTTACTTTTACACTGTAGCTATATTTTAGTGGCTCTGAGTCCAATTTCAATATATATCCTAACATTTCACAAGTACTGTGAACTCTCTTCACCATGTGGTTGAAATACTGATTTCTGTGGAGCAGTGGTTAAACACAGCAGTGTTGTTCTGCCAATACAATGTAGTTTGTCACTTGATCAGAGCTGGCATCCTGCACACACACATGGTCTGAAATTTATCATATAGCAGGGGTCGATCTGTAGTTTCTGTGCACGAGTCATGCAGTCAAGCACTCAGCACAGGTCAGTATAAAACACTAGGCTTTAATGTATCATATGATAGGCCAAGGGGTGAGTGCTAGTGAAGAGATGTAAAATTTGAGAGAACAATTACAGTAATACCTGTGTTAGAGAGTAATGCTATAGTATATGAATATAAAGTTGGTCAGTGCTGCTGTCTGCTCGCTTTGTTGTTTAACTGAGAATGTGACTCAGCATCAGAGGATTATGTCTTGTGTTCAGCAGTAAGGTTGTGCTCCCTGTCTTAGGGCTAGATCGGGACATGACAGTCCAAGTAATAATATCAGTTAAATGTTTTAATTTCTCTGTTATGGAACAGGGATCTACTATGTAGTCTGAGAAAGGCACTCTGATACAGAAGATAATAAGGTAAGAAAAGATGAACCTTTATTAGTCCCACAACAGGGAAATTTACACTGCTACAGCAGCGAAAGGATAGGACACAGTGTTCGGAATCACACATAATAGACACATTATTATCCATAGAAACAGTGTTGCTCTAATAATACCGATATCTTAAGTAAAAAATGCCAATAAGATTAATAAAAACATTTTGCACCCTGTACACTGGGTAGTCCCATTATGCAGTCTGTGGGATAGAAACTCAGTGTTTAGAATAATAAAGTGACAGATGATGTAATTATTGGTAAAAACAGTGCAGCCATACTAATAAGGCAAGACTGATATTGCATATTGGTGTGCTGAGTAGCA